CCGTAAGTCTCTGAGAGAGAACTCTCCAAGAAGGACAAAAGAGAACATATCAAGCACATCAGAGGGCACAAGTCCAGCCCCTCTCCCCAGCAGGCAGCTCAGTGCTGGGCCCTGTATTCACCTGTCTCAAGGCTGAGGCCAAAGTAGAAGAGAGCCCCATCCCCGAGGGCACACAGGAGGTAGTGGCTGCTCTCGAAGGTCGTCATCAGGATGGAGCGAGGGATAATTTCTGCAGGAGCACAGGAGAAGGCTGGTGTCACCCCGGACTCACCCAGGACACTGCGTACGTGCCCACTGCCACCACCCACAGCCCCAGCAGAGCCCGACCTCCTCCCAGCATCTCTTTGTGCAGCAGCTCAAACGAAGGCAGCTTGAGGATGCGGGCAGAGATGTCAGTCCAGAGCCCGATTGCGCACAGCGGGGACATGCCACTGCTGTCCCCCAGGGGGGTGATGTCCAGGCACGCAACTTCGTGCTCCATTTCTGTGCAGCTGGAAGCAGACAGAGGTGTCAGTCCTGAGGCCAAAGACAGAGAGGAGAGGCTGAGAGCCCTCGGGTTGGGATGGGAGACCTGCACCCACCTGATCTGCCTGAGCTCCTGGGGTCGGATCTCCAGGTAGTAGAGGGCTCGTCCCACAGCCACCACGACCTGGTTACTGTTGCAGGAAGCCACGCTGATGTTCTTTCCATTGGGCTCCTTCCATTCACTCACCAGGGCTTTGGGCTCCTGGCTAACCAGTCTCACAGAGGCAGAGGTGATCTGGGGAGAGAGAACATCTCTGCTCAGAGCCAAAACACCTCCTTCCATCCAACATCAGCCCAAAGAAGGACACCAAACCCTGCCCCAGGTAAGAAAGGCAGATCTAGGTTAGCCCCACATCAGTAAGAGCTATAGGATCATCACAAGAGACACACCTGCATTGCCCTAGAACTGTATTACCTGGATCAATTGCTGGTGTGCCACATTGCCACAGAAGAAGGTCTGCTGATCATCCACAAACCCTGTGAGCTCTGTCTCTTCCACCTCCTCTCCATTTAACATTAGAACCCTGAGCAAGGAAGAGAACTCCTGTTATATCATTAGATATGTGTGAGGAGCAGGTCGAGGAGGTGATCCTGCCCCTCTGCTCTGCTCTTGTGAGACCCCACTTGCAGCACTGGGTGCAGTTCTGTTGTACTCAACATCAGAAGGACATGGAGCTGTTGGAGCAAGTCCAGAGGAGGCCACTGGGATGCTCAGGGGCTGGAGCAGCTCCTGTATGGAGCCAGGCTGAGAACATTGGGGCTGTTCAGCCTGGAGAAGAGAAGCTGCGTGGAGACCTCAGAGCAGCTTCCAGTGGCTGAAGGGGGCGACAACGATGCTGGGGGGGGGACGGAGGGACTCCTCGTTAGGGACTGCAGTGGTGGGACAAGGGGTGATGGGTTCACACTGAAACAGGGGAAGTTCAGGTTAGAGATAAGGCAGAAGCTCTTCCCTGTGAGGGTGCTGAGGCGCTGGCACAGGGTGCCCAGAGAAGCTGTGGCTGCCCCATCCCTGGCAGTGTCCAAGGGCAGGTTGGACACAGGGGCTTGGAGCAACCTGCTCTAGTGGAAGGTGTCCCTGCCCGTGGCAGGGGTTGGAACTGAAGGAGCTTTAAGGTCCCTCCCAACCCAACCTTAACTATGCTATGATCATGCTGCAGTATGTGGCTGTGGACTGCGTGGCTCAGCCTCAACCCCACCTCACCTGGTTTGGCCAACGAAGGACAGCACCAACGTATTATCTGTCTCACGATGAGAATCCGACCTCAGGGGCCACAATCCTGCAACAGAGAGAGGCCACGTTAGCTCCCTGTGAGCATTCCAAGAGCTGGTGGGTGGCAAGAACCTGCCCCACGCCCCAGGCACACGCTGTGCCCCCACCAGCCCCTCTGAGGCCGGGGGCTGTGTGTGACAGCACTGAGGAGCTCACACACCTTTGATCCCTGGCAGGTCAATGCTGGCATGTTCATGGATCCCAATGCCATTGCGGATGATCCGTAGTGAGCCCTCTTTAAAAGCTCCTGAGCATGTGACCAGCTGCAGGAAGAGGAGATGAGCTTTACCAACCTTGTTGGGAAGCTTCCCCATTCCTCCCTGTAGTGACAGGGTCAGAGGGAGGTTTTTGGCAGCTGATCCTTCCCTGTTGCACAAAGACAACCCTTTCCTCATGAAGAGGGGTACCCAAGAATTAGCCTCCCCACTCATATCACTCTTGAGACCTCAATATCCATTGCTGCACCTGGGTAAGACTTTGAGATGCTCCAATAAATGGTTTGTGGTCTTTTCCTTCCATGGACAAATCCCACACACACATCTGGATGTCCCAGACACCCCCAACACCAAGCAAAGCAAAGCAGAATCAGCATTACCTGTCCTTGCCCTTGTCTTTCCAGGTCTACCACACACATGTCAACGATGGGGCCAAGGTTGGTGAAGGTCTCCATGGCCACCACGTAGGAGCCCTGCTCGTTGCTGTCCACGTTGAGCTGTGCATTAACACAATTGTTGGCTTTCAACATGTGAGACCAAGCAGTGGAAAGGGTGTAGGGCAGACAAGGAGAAGGAAAACTGACGCACATACACCTCTGATGAAAAGCAATGGGTACAAACCCCTGTCTGAACACACACAAAGCTGCTGTGTACCTTCACAAGCTGGGAATCCCCAAGGCGAGAGCCAACAAACACAACCCCGTTGTCCAGGTAGGTCAAACACTCTGCAATGGATGTCTGGGAATTGAGAAGGTGCAGATGAACCATCACTGGTGTGAAAAGGAGCCTGTCACACCCCACAAGCAGCACATCTGAGCTGCAGCCCCATAGGAAGACCCTGGGCACAGGATGGAGAGTCCAAGCTTCCCCCAGTCAAGCACCAGGCAAAACCCAGGGAAGATGGTGTAGACTTTGAAGTGCTCACCAAATGACAGTCAGATCCAGGACAACTATGAAACATCACCCACCCTGGGCTCCAAGAGAGCCCTCAGTGAAGCATTTCCACCCTTTGGAGCTTCCCAGGCCCGTGGTGAGAAGTGTCAGGGACACATGATGGGACCAGGTCCTACCTCCCCGAGCAGCTCCACACGCAGGTCCTTCAGGGTGACAGTGCCATCCATCTGCTCCTCCTTCTCCAGGAGCAGCATGAAGAGGCGTCCTTCCATGTCCCCCAGGAGGTAACGGGATCCATTGGGATCCACACGGTTGTGGCACACAATTGTACTTTGCTGCATGTAAAACAGGAGGGAATTTTAGGAACAGGGCCCCAAAGGGACATCTAGAACCATCTCTGTCCATGCCTGAAGGGAACAGCCACATCCACCATGCATCAGCTGCTGGCTGTAACCATGGCAAAGACCCACTTCTCCTGGAGCTCTGCCTGCTCTGGTATCTCCATCACAGAGCTCCAGCAGTGGTCTGAGAGCCTGTGGCATTCAAGCAACAACACTGGTATTTCTTTACTCAAGATTTATAACTCTTTATCCCAGGTTAAAAGGACCTTCTGATCCTGGCTTAAGCCTCTTTCAGCCCCGAGCAGCACTTCAGCTGTGTCATTTGTGCTTCCTGCACTGTGTCCATGTGGGAACTGGTCCATTCCTCTGACAAAAACCACAGGCTCAGCCTCTGTCACAAGCTCTGTAAGTCTGTTTCCCTTTAAACAAGTGCCCCAGTCACACACTGGTGGACTCAGGTCTCCAAGGGGCTCATTCATATCTTCTGCTGCTTGAAATGAAACCAGGCCCTGACCTGGACCCACGCCCAGATCATGTTCTACATCCTGATTAATCCCTTTCTGTGGGGCCCAGGCATGATTTCAGCTTTACTGCACCATTTCCATGCACTCCATAGAGAGCAGAGCCACAGGCTGCCACCAATACAAGGATTACACGTCCCTCAGCCCCCCACAAACACAGCCAGGCACGGTGTGAAACACTCACCAAAACCCAGTCGGGGAGTAAGTAGCTCTATTAGACTAGACCTGGAGACAAGAGCAGCTAATTCATGACTCCAAGTAGCCCAATACCCTACCAGCACACGGAGGGATTCCTGGGAAAGGAGGAATTACATGGGATGTATTTCTGGATCTCAGCAGGCACTCACCTTGATGATAGGAGGAGCTATAGCTAGGTATTTGTCTCCGTTGTGGTAGGTGATGGACTCCTGCCCAATGATGATCGCGCCTCCAAAAGGCTCTGGCACTGCACAGGGGAGAAGACAAACGTCCCATTGGAGAACCTCTGCAGCATGGCTGAGGTGTTCAGCTGCGAGGAGGAAACAGGAGGGAAGGTCTTCTAAGCAGAACCAACCTGCAATGACCATGGAGGCTTCAGCCTCCACGTTCTCCTGTTTCCAGGGACCTTTGTTGAACTCCTTCTCGCGCAGGGACACCTCGTACGTCTTCACGTGCCGACCCTGAGGGTCCTGAAAGAGAAGCCACAGATGATGATGTGCCAAGAGCACAACCTCAAGGGCACTGAGACTCCAGCCTGTGAAGCAAGGAGACTCCACCTCATCTCTGCAAGAGCCCCATCCTGAGGCTTCCCACCTTGTCCACCTCCTCTTCATCCTCCCTCAAACCACACACGTGCCTGAGCACACACCCTGATGTTCTCCTTAACTTTATCCCTGTGTAGAACAGCCTCTGAAGAAATCCCTGTGCCAAAAAGAGACTGAAAACTGTTCCTTGTGGGTTCAGACAAGTGATTTTTCTGGGGCTTGTATTCATCTGGGCACAAGTGGCACTACACAGTGTCAGCACCACCTCCAGCTCCAAGTGAGGAGTCCAGCTCTGCTGTAGCACTGCAGGTGCCACTGAACTCCTGTCTTGATGCTCCTCAGGCCTTTCAGCCTCATTTCCTGAGGAAGCATAACCTGCTTGATGAATAAGCCCCCCAACAGGTCTGCCACTCCAGTATTCCAAGCCCAGTGGGCGATTTCAACCAAACCTGACATGCAGAAAGGGCTCCAAGGCAGCAATTCCATGTGGGCTTCACGACCTGGGTGGAGGAAAAGCTCCCCACAACAAGATCCCACTGTGGGAAAGGTGGTCTGTGCTAACAAGCACTTGGGAACCCATGTGGGGAGAAGACATAAGAGCACCCAAAGCACAGAGAGGGCTTTGAACATAACCCACTGACCCATTTCATGTCTCAGAAACTAAGACAAAGCTCTAAACCAGAGGGAAACAGGTTTCTTTAGTCATGTTGTTCACAAAAGAGGTTATAAAGAGGGGTTCACCTTTTCAGTTGTTATGTCTCAACATCTTCCAGATCTGAGTAAAGAGATCCTGGCAAATGCCCCATCCCTGGCAGTGTTCAAGGCCAGGTTGGACACAGGGGCTTGGAGCAACCTGCTCTAGTGGAAGGTGTCCCTGCCCGGGGCAGGGGTTGGAGCTGGAGGAGCTTTAAGCTCCCTTCATCCCAAACCCCTCTGGGATGCAATGAAACATCCTCACTGAATGTGCTCCAGAGCTCCTGAGGGAAACAAAGAGCAGCAGTGGCTGACAGAGAAGGGGAAGCTGGAGGAGAAACAGCTCTGTGGGGAGGAGAAAGCTGAAGTGGGGCTCTGACAAAGGCAGAGGAGGCATTCAGGAAACCTTTGCCATTTCTGCACCTTTTCACTCCCCCCCACAGCAGCTCTTGAGCCTTTCTCTTGATCTAGTTTTATGAACTGCCCCTTTTTTGTGGCATCTTCCTCCAGTTTCAGAACGACACAAACATTCTCTCAGTCACTTCAATGCTCTTCAGTCCCAATCCTGTGATAATGATTGATAAGTTGAGAAGGAATCCAAGCAGCAGCTTGGAAACATCCCCCTCTCCACACACACACACAATTCAGACACCCCAGGGCCTAAAACAAAGCCAGAGTTTTATGTAAGGCTGAATGAGTCAGACAGAGCTTCCACCTCCTCCTGCTACGAGCAGAAAACCTGGATCAAGGGTTAGACATGGAGCAAGCTATTAATTTACTCTTCATTTGTGTAATACATGCTTAGAATGAGTGACCCATTAACAGGTTTGCTGGTTTATGGGGAGAGCTGGTATCTTCACAGGTTAAGACCTTACTTGCTGACTACATGGGGTGACCAAGCTCCTCTTTTCAATGCTCTTGAGCACTGAGTTACCACAGGGCAGGGGGAGAGAACTGGCCTGACATGGAGCTGCCCTCCCAGCCCCTAGTGACATGTGACAAAGTGATTTCTCCCCTATGCTTTTACTCAGTAACTATTTGGGGGGTTCAACAGCACCCACATAGGGAGTAATCAAGTCACTGCTGCCATATAGAAGCTCTTATGGTAGGGATTTGCCAGCCCAAAGCAGAACTAAGTTCACAGCAGATCCCATGTGCTGCTGTCCAGGAACTTCCAGCTAAGCCCAGGCTAGGCTGGAATTTGACACAGCAAAGATAATCCCTTGCTCAGTCAGCACAACGATGGCTCTTTAGGTCAAAGTAAGCAGAAGAAGAACCTACAAACACTGCTTCTGTGAGAACCCAGGCAACAGGAGACGTTATTACTCCTGGAGTGGCCTCCCAAATGCCAGACAAGACATTCCTTCTTTTTGAAGGGGAAGGCTCAAGTCTCACTGTAGTGCCTGCAGGAAACAAGTGACCCTGGCTCTAACCCTGCTCAGCACTTGCTGGAAAGATTCATGTACCCCTCTGCAGTGTTTAACAAGGAAATGGTCCCATCTGAAGCATCAGCTGCCCAGCTCTCCTCTGGGAATGCTGCTTCCTCTCTGCCAGGAAGGGAAAAAAGCAGCACAGAGGAAAATGGACTTCCCTTGGCTAGACAAAAAGCCTGCAGGAGGCCAGGATCATCTCTTGGTCCATCCAAAGCACTGCCTGCTGCTAGCTCCAGGACACTGCTGCTGCTCCAAGCCCTCTGGTAGCCCTTGGTTGGTGCCTCTGCCCGAGTGACCCATGAAGAACAAGGTACCTGGTAGACGAAGCAGATGGTTGGAGCCTGACAGCCATAGAGGAACTTCACATCGATGACTTGGAGCTCTTCCAGGCGGATGTTAAAAGCTTTTAATTCCTTGTTCTCCCTGTCCAAGGGGATGACCTTGAAGAGGCCATCATAGAGCCTCAGGCCGATCATGCGGCACTCGGGGTCAATGATGCCGATGATGCCGGTCTCCGAGGGGCGGCCGATGCGATCCTGAGCCAGGGATCCATGGAGAGGGGACAGAGAAACAGGGATTAGACAGAGATCCTGGTGCAGGACTGGAGAACAGCAGGTACAAGAGTCACCACCCCTCAGCTGAGGAATAACTCCCTGCACACCCCCCAGTAGGTGTTTAAATAGGTGGCACCAAAGGCAATTCTGGCATCTCCTGCCTCAAGCAGCAGGTCATGGACTCATGGAATGGGTTGGGTTGGGAGGGACCTAAAAGCTCATCCAGGTCCAACCCCCGCCACAGGCAGGGACACCTTCCACTAGAGCAGGTTGCTCCAAGCCCCTGTGTCCAACCTGCCCTTGAACACTGCCAGGGATGGGGCAGCCACAGCTTCTCTGGGCACCCTGTGCCAGCGCCTCAGCACCCTCACAGGGAAGAGCTTCTGCCTTATCTCCAACCTGAACTTCCCCTCTTTCAGTTTGAACCCATCACCCCTTGTCCTATCCCTAAATTCCCGGATGAAAGTCCCTCTCCAGCATCCTTGTAGCCCCCTTCAGCCACTGGCAGCTGCTCTGAGGTCTCCACACCTTCGCACCAGAGCTCCCATAGCAGGGATGTGCTCTTTCCTGGGGATCAGACACTCCAGGAACAGACTCTGGGAATGGTTTTCTAATCCCAGCTCTCTACTGACTGACCTCAGAGACTCCATTGCTGTTCTAGAGCTGATGGAGAGAGATGCCCTCCACTGCTGTGAAGTGCTTTGATACCCACAACCAAAACCCACCCTCCTGATAACCAGGACACCCCGTTATCAGCCTCCGCAGGCCCCTCAGTGTCACTTGGTGGGGGCTGATATCACCATCTCCATATGCCACGAGGCAGAACTGTGGTATAAGAAGATGAAAGACTTCTCCCCAGACAGGTTGACATGTTACTGATGGGACATGTCCACCTACAGCTCCTGCCCATAACCCCCTGCTCAGCTTCAGCAACAGGAAACCAGCAGAAGCTCAATGCTTGGGAACAGATGGAAGATATTTTGGCTTGACAAGTGATGGGAAGCATTTGGTTACTGACTTAACAGAAAGCCAAGGAGACAGATGGAATTCTGACCTCCTCCAAAGGGGTGATTTTAATCCATATAAAACAGAATAGTGGAGAATATCCATGATTATTAATGGTGGGGTATGGTTGTGGTGGTACCAGCAGTGATGGTTCTGGTGTGCAGCACGTAGAAACCAGCTGGGAAACACCAAAGAAGCCATTTCCCAGAGAGAATTCTACCTTAGGTTGAGTTTTGAGCATCAATTCTCTTTATGGGAGAAGTATCTCAAATTAACCTTCTTATTCTGGTGCTGAGGCACTGGCAGAGGCTGCCCAGAGAGGTGGTAGATGCCTCATCTACCAAAACATTCAAGGTCCCGTTGGACAGGGCTCTGAGCAACCTGCTCTCGTGGAAGATGTTCCTGCTTATGGCAGGGCTTGGAGCTGGATGAGCTTTAAAGGTTCCTTCCAACCCAGTTTGCTGGGATTCTGCAAACTACCCCAAGAACACAGTTGTAGCCTCAGACCCTGAGCACAAGGCTGGTTGACTGCAGGCAACAAGAGTCAGAGGTAAGCAAAGGATCATGGAATGGTTTGGGTAGGAAAGGAGCCCAAGATCATCCAGTTCCAAGCCCCTGCCCCGGGCAGGGACACCTTCCACTGGAGCAGGTTGCTCCAAGCCCCTGTGTCCAACCTGGCATGGGGCAGCCACAGCTTCTCTGGGCACCCTGTGCCAGCGTCTCAGCACCCTCCCAGGGAAGAGCTTCTGCCCCAGAGCTCATCTCAATCTCCCCTCTGGCAGGTTCAAGCCATTCCCCTTGTCCTGTCCCTCCATCCCTTGTCCAAAGCCCCTCTCCAGGTTTCCTGGAGCCCCTTTAGGCACTGGAGCTGCTCTAAGGTGTCCCCTTCAGGAGCCTTCTCTTCTCCAGCTGCCCCAGTCCAGCTCTCTCAGCCTGGCTCCAGAGCAGAGCTGCTCCAGCCCTCGCAGCAGCTCTGGGGCCTCCTCTGGACCTGCTCCAGGAGCTCCACATCCCTCTGGTGCTGTTACCCCAGAGCTGCACTCCCATGACTCCATAATCAGGAGTTAAGAAGGGAGAACCCCACCACCAGCAAAGTAAAACCACCCCAGAGGAAGGAAATTGACCCCTTCCAGGTTCTTCAGCTCCACTCACCTGCACATTGCCATGGGCACGGGTTATGATGTCAATGTTGTCCCCGTTCTGCTTGTACTCCAGGATGCAGGCGTTGTACTTGGCTGTCAGGATGAACAACAAGTCCTTGCTCTCCCCCTGCCAAAGCAGAGCAGTGATGAGCCTTCAGGAGGGCATCGGAGCCGCTGGCAGCCGCGTCCCCACGCGCCTCCTCCCCATGGCAAGGTCCCCGTCCCCACAGCACACCCACCTTGGGGCGGAAGAGCTCCATGACAGCGGTCTTGCCGTACATCCCCACCTCCTTGACGGGCCTGAGCCCCTCTGCTGTCACCACGTAGATCTCCAGCCGCGTGTTCTTGGCGATGAGCAGGTTCAAGTCCTCTGCTGAGGTGAAGTGTCCTGGAGGAGAGGGAGCAGAAAGCACCGGTGATGTGCATGGAAGGGACAAGGTGACACCGTGGGGTGCTCACACCGAACAACCTGCGGAGTCTGGTCCCTACCCCCCCAGTCACAGCACCCAAACCCCCAGCACCCTCCTCCCACAGCTCCTTCCCCCCTCTGTGTTCCCCAGGTCCCG